TTGAGCATTGACTCCCCTATACAGAATTTTATTGTTGTTAACAACCATTTGATCAATAAATATGAGAGATGCCCTCTCAAAAAAAAAAAAGTACACACTTCCAATTGTAAAATAAATAAGTAACTGGGATGTAATGTATAGCATAAGGAATATAGTCAAAATATTGTAACAACTTTGTATGGTGATAGCTGGTAGCTAGAATTATCATGTATATAAATGTTGAATCACTGTGTTGTACACCTGAAACTAATGTAATACTGTGTGTCAACTACCCTTCAATAAAAAATAATTTTAAAAAATATGTAAGATGCTACAAAAGCAGATCTAAGAGGGAAGTACATAGAAATACAAGCCTACCTCAAGAAACAAGAACAATCCCAAATAAATAGTCTAAACTCAACTAAAAACTAGAAAAAGAAAAAATGAAACCCAAAGCTAGGGACATAATAAAGATCAAAGCAGAAGTAAAATAGAGAAGAATGAAACAATAGGAAAAATATCAATGAAACCAAGAACTGGTTCTTGGAGAAAACAAACGAAATAGACAAACGCCTAGCCAGACTTATCAAGAAAAAAAGAGAGGGGACACACAAAATAACAAAATCAGAAACAAAAAGGAATCCTTACAATTGACACCATAGAAACACGAAGAACCACTATAAAGTGAAAGATTATATGTCAATAAGTTAGATAACCTAGAAGAAATGGACAAATTCCTAGAACAGTACAACCTTCTAAAACTAATCCAAGAAAATCAGACAAAATTGAATTGGCAATCAAAAAACTCCCAATAAACAAAATACCAGGATCAGATAGCTTCACAGCTGAATTCTACCAAACATTGAGAAGAGCTAATACCCATCCTTCTTAAAGGATGAAAGATACTTCCAAATTCATTCTATGAGGTCAGCATCACTCTGCAACCAAACTAGGCAAAAACACTACAAAAAAAAAATTATACATCAATTAACACTGAAGAACATAGATGTGAAAATCCTCAATAAAATATTAGCACACTGAATTAAAAATTGCATCTAAAGGATCATCCATCACAACCAAGTGGATTTTATTCCAGGGATGCAAGGAAGGTACAGTATTTGCAAATCAATGTGATACAGCACATTAACAAAAGGATACAGCAATATGATCATCTCAATAGATGTTGAAAAAACATTTGACAAAATTCAATGTTCATTCATGATAAAAACTCCCAACCAATGGGTATAGAGGTAACATACCTCAGCATAATAAAAGCCATATACAACAAACCTACAGCTAACATCATACTCAGTGGAACAAGACAAAGATGTCCACTCTCACCACTTTAATTCACCATAGTAATGGAGATCCTTGTCACAATAATCTGACAAGATAAAGAGATAAAAGGCATCCAAATTGGTAAGGAAAAAGTACAACTGTCACTATTTACAGAAGACAGGATACTATGTATAGAAAATGCTAAAGACTACACCAAAAAGATATTGGAACTAATAACTGGATTCAGCAAAGTTGCAGTATAAAAAATTAACACAAAAAAATCTGTAGCATTCTCATATACTAACATTGAACTAGCAGGAGAAATGAAGAAAATAATTTCATTTACAATTGCATCAAAAAGAATAAAATACCTAAGAATAAACCTAACCAAGGAGGTGAAAGACCTGTACTCTGAAAACTATAAGATTATTGATGAGAGAAATTAAAGAAGACACAAATAAATAGAAATCTATCCCATACTCAAAGGGAAGAAGAATTACTATTGTCAAAACAGCCATCCTGCCCAAAGGAATTTACAGATTCAATGTAATCCCTATCAGAATACCAAATACATTTTTCAATGAACTAGAGAAAATAATCCTGAAATGCATATGGAACCACCAAAGACCCCAAATAGTCAAAGCAAACCTGAGAAAGATGAAAAAGGTAGAATATTAATATTCCCAGGCCTCAAACTATACTAGAAAGCTACAGTAATCAAAATAGTATGGGATTGCACAAGAACAGGCCCACAGATCAATGGAACAGAATAACAGCCTAGATATAAATCCATGCATATATGGTCAATTAATATACAATAAAGGAGCCATTAATATATAATGGGGAAAAGACAGTCTCTTCATTAACTGGTGCTGGGAAAACTGGATAGCTACATCCAAGAAAATGAAACTGGATTACTGTCTAACTCCATAAATATCCAACCAAAGTATCCATTAGTAGATGAATGGACAAAGCAGATGTGGTACATATACACAATGGCATATTATTTGGCCATAAAATGAAATTCTGCCATTTGTGATAACGTGGATGGACCTAGAAGGTATTATGCTAAGTGAAATAAGCCAGGTGGAGAAAGACAAATACTGTATGATTTCACTTATTATGGAAAATAAAAACAAAACAAAGTGAACAAAATAGCAGTAGATTCATAGATACTAAGAAGTGACTGGTGGTTACCATGGGGGAGGACTTGGGGTGGGTGGGTGGAGAGGATGAGGCAGATACAGGAGCACAAATATTCTCAAGTATAGATTGGTAATGAGGATGGCAGTACAGCATGGAGAATATAGCCAATGATCTTTATATGTTGTAACTGCATTAGTTGGGGTGAGGATTTAATAATGTATCTGTTGAACCACTAAAAATACTAAAATAAGATTGTGTATCAACTATACTTCAATTAAAATAAAGACTAAACAAGACAAAAAATGTTTTCAAGTATTCTTCAAATATTTACAATGTTCAAGAAGTTCAGCAAGGACAACTTGTTCAATAATCTATATATGTATGCATTTTACATTGTTTTTATATCCTAATTATTTCTAGAGAAAAAGATAAAGTATAGTTTTGTGAGCAGCAGCCATAAAAAATGAGGATAAAAAATGCCAATCCTCCTCTCTGAATTTTTTTGCTAATACATATTTTTATTATGTTTCTATTCAATTACAAGCCCTTTTCATTACACAACAAACCTGAAATCCTGAAAATGTCTAACAATGTTTGATAATCTGAAGTTTAACTTAAGATCAAATGAGATTCTATGTTAAACTTTTCTAAAATCAGCTTTCCCCATTTAACTAGTATATTTTGAGGTAACAAAACATCTCCTATATGATGCTTCTTCAGTTATCAGCAGATAAATTCAACAAAGGTGAAATATGTATTAGTGTTAACTAGTCTTATGAGGCATTTTGGTTTCAGAATTTTTAACTTTTTAGGAATCATGTTTAAAAGTAGTCATTTTTGTGTGTACGTGCCTCATTATTTTACAAAAATTTTTCACCACAGTGACGTAGATGATTTTAAGACAAAAGTTAAAAACTATACAAACTATTTTGCTTGGTTGTTGCATATTTGCAATTTTGCCACAGTTAGCAAATATTTTTGAACATTTTGTTCATTACCTTGTTATATAGGGATTTAAGTCCCCTTTGCTTATAAGGAATGAAAAATGTCAACTCATTAAAAATATGCATCCGTTCTAACACTCATAAAGGCACACAGGAGCAAAACAAGGAGAAAGCAAAGAAATGTGTTAGAAAAATATGCATTTATGACTTTGTGTTTGGACTGTAATTCTCATTGATGGAGCACTTACTCTGAAGTAGGCATTTGTATATAGCATCTCAATAAAATTTTTATAATATTTTGAGGTAGATGTTTTTTCATTTTAATGATGAGAAAACTAAGGCTTAGAAAGATTCATCAGTTTAAACCCAAAGTTACAATTAGGTAGTGGTAGGACCAATATGCTTTTTTCCCTACTCTTTAATTCCTATTTCCTAACAATGTTTTATTTCTTTCACTGTAGAAAAATGAAGGAGACAGACATGTTTTTCATGTAACTTTTATTTTCACCAAGTTTCTTCTCATATTTCTCTGTCATAGTGGAAGATTTCAATATTCACTACTGAGTATCAACTACCTTTAAGAAAAATGCATAGTTTCTTCAAAACTCAGGATAAGAAAAATCACAAAACTATTTCCCCTGGCAACTTGTTTTGTTAATATATGCTATATAATTTAAACTTATGGAATACACCATACATAAACAAAAACTCAAACCCATGGTATTTTTTCTAGCTTTAAGAAACTTCTTGTGATTTTTTTCTTTAACTGAAGTGTTTTCCATTACTTACACTCTTACACCCATTTTTTTCACTACTTAGTAGGTAAAAGCGTTAATCATTAACAAAATGCAAAAAAAGTGATTTTAGAACATTTGTTGTTAAAATTACTCACATTTTTTTTCTGCCATTGAAATTATAATGATGCCTTAAATCACCTTGGGGGCTTTTGATACAAAATTAATTCGTAAGTAAAAATTATTAAATTTTAGACAAAATAAGGCAAAGTAGCTGTGAACTGGCTATGCTCTTTAATGTCATCTAAAATGCAATAAAAATGAATAAGCTAATCTTTATTTAAAACAATGTTACATAAAGCAAAAATACCTTATAGAGGATAACCAAAGTCAGATATTAAAACCTGAAAAATATACATAAATGCCCATTTATTAAAGAAAAGAAAACCTAACACACTTCGAAGAATAGTGGTGGGATGTTCTTAACGTTCTTTTTAATGCATGAGATTTATTTACCAATTCAAAGGTTCACTTATAGGCAGATACTAAAAAGTGCCTGGGGGTAAAGAAATCAGTATATATTAGATATGTAAGGACTACAGCCAGGGGCAGACATGAGTTCCTAAATTATAAATATTACCTTTATAATAAAACGATGGTACTTTATAGGATATCCAAGTAATACCAACTTTTAAAAACAAATACTTAAAATATCGTCCACATAAGAGATAATGGCTGGAGGTTTTAGGGAGTGAAGTACGAAAAACTTAAACAACTCAAAATGCATGTTCATCCCTCAAAGAACCGAAACAGAGTAAACAAACGCAACAGGTCCTCTTAACACCCAGAAAAGTTCAGGCATTTGGAGGCGCTGACTGGCATCCGTTTCTTGCTGTTTTCAAACCCGCCCCTCCGTTCCTAGGCTTCTCTCCATGGAAACCGGCCGGGGCCAGAGCAGGTAGTCTGGAGACGTGGGGACTGGAGAGGACCCGGCGCCCTTGTCTCTCAACCTTTGCGGCCCTAAGGCTAAGCGGCCCCAGGACGGTCGGCGCCGGGAGGAAGGCGGGAGCGCACAGCTGTCCTAAGCCTCCGCAGCGGCGAGGCGCGGCCTGCGCGGGGCGGGGTGGGGGCGGGGCCCGTCGAGAGGCCCCGCCTCTCCTCGGCTGCGGCCTCGGGCTACAGCCAGGGCTCGGGGGACTCCGCGGCCGGGGATCGCCGGGCTGCCTCAGGTGCGCGCGGAGGCGGCCCGTCCTTTCCCCCCTGCGGGCGCGGCCCCCGCTGCTCGTGGTGCAGCTGCAGCAGTGCGCGGCGGTACATGGCCTCCAGCTTCTCGAGGCGGGCCCTCAGGGCCCTGGGGCTGCCCGGCGCGTCCTCCGGGCCGCTGCCTCTCGCTCTCCTGTTCGTGCCGACCTCCTCAGGGCCCGGGATCGCATTTGCAGTCTCCGCGCGCGCCCCGTCGCCGCCCTCGCCGGGGAGGCGCAAGGCCTGACGGAAGAGGCTGCGGTTCTCCCGCTTCAGCCTCCGGTTCTCGAGCCTCAGCCGGGCATTCTCCTCGCGCAGCCGCGCGTTCTGCCGGTCCCGCTCGTCCCGCGCACGCAGAGCCTCCAGGTGGCTCGCCGCCAGGTCGGCAAACCGCTCCTCCAGCTGCCGTCGGGCGCCGCCCGCGCGGCCTCGCCAGCCCACGCCGCCACCGCTGACACCGCCACCCCCACGAACCCGGCCCCGGAGGCCCAGCCCGTCGCTGTCCCCGCCGCCGAAGCTCCCGCGCCTGGCGCCACCACGCATGCGCCACATCGGTCCTGTCCCAACCGCGCCGCCAGCCCCGTGGGCCAAGGGGGCCGCGCGCCGAGGCGCGGGCCGAGTTTGGGGCCCGGCGGGGCGGCCCGGGCAACAGCGGAGGAAGAGAGGAGGTGGCGGGCGGCGGCTGCTGGCGTGGGGCCAGAAGAGGCCGGGAATTTGCCCGGTCTGAGGCGTGTCTTGTCGCGGTGGTGGAGCTGCCCCCTGGGCCTGCGATCTCTGGCCGGGCTCACACACAGTGCCCCCGGGGAGCGCTTTGCTGCTCGGCCCCCTGACAGCGCGGGGGAAAAGCTGGTATTCTCATCTGGGTTCTGCCGGGTGCCTCCGGGCAGGCCTGGCACTACTGGAACCAGCCGGCCTTTCCCGCCATCCAGCGCAACCACCAGTGGTTACTTTGCTCTTTACATGACAATCGCAAACAAATTATAATAAAATGGTAAGTTCTGGGACAGAAATATGGGACCAGTTGAAGAGCTGTGACTAGAACATTAGACTGTTTAGAACATAGCAGTTTAACTCACCTCTGAGCTTCCTAAAACACTGAGCAGAATGGAGCTGAGCGCCTGTGATGAGGCCCTCAAGTGGGAGCAATGCAGCTCTAGAAAGAATATAGGCAATTTCCTGAACAGCCAGGACTACACTTGGCAAATTGTTTACAACTCAATAGAAGCAAGGTGATACTTAAGTTTTGTGGACAGGTTTTGGCAAGAAACTGAATACTCTGGAAGTTCCAAATTTCTGGTAATAAGTGGGTACATTTAATTGAATGAACCACATTCCTTGTTTTTAAGGAACTCAGTTTACAAGATAATTATTGCAAAGTAAATTAAGGATATGATACTGATACCAGAAATTTATGGGGGAGAAAGGTAGTCACAAGAATCTGTATTTTTAACAAGGTCCCAGGTAATAATGTTCACTGAAGTCTCCAAACCACTGGAAACAGTAAATGAACAGGAAGAACATACGAGAACCCTGATTATGCACAGAGCTCAGGGTTACACTGAACAGTACACATAAAAAGAAGTAAGATCCTAAAACACCACAAACCCCCTCACTTGTCACCATCGCTTTGCAAAATAAAAAGTAGGAATATTATAATTTCAGAATTTCAAAATATAAATTCAGTTTTATGATAGACTATATAGTTCTTAATTTCCATTAAAGGTAGACAGTAAAAACTCTGTTGCAGATATGTATCCACTACTCTATGGATAACTGAACAAAAAAATAAGATTTTTTTCTCATGGTGTATATAAAGGACAGAGGAGAAAATGCTAGTATGTGAAGAAAGATGATTAGTTCTCTGTTTTAGATATGCTGAATTTTAGAGAACTGTGAAATAAGAGTATGTGCCCCATAAGCTAGAGGAAAACTCTGCATAAGAAAAATTTAGTCACCCCCCCCCCAGGTGTTGTTAAGAAATAAGTACTGTGTTTTATTTTTTGTTGGCTCTACTCCCCTTCCTGAGCATTTGTTAAGTCTACCAGTATCCTCTTTTTATTGCTTCCCAGATTAAAGCAGCTCCGTCTTTCTTGTATAATATCTTCTAAATTTGTGTAACTAACTCCTGTAATGAACAATACTGGATTTCCTAAACAACAGTAATGCTGATTGTTTTAGGAGCCTCCCCTCTACTTAGGGCCCAACCCCTAAGTATTCTCATTTGTCTTGATAAATTAATAAAGTAGCATGAAGTATTATGAAAAGCAGATAAAACTAATTAAGCAGAAGATCCAGTAAAATTATCAGTCTCTTTGATACATTTTAACAGTAGCTAATCTGATAATATAGTATATGTATCCTCCCAAAAGACAGAATCCATTAATACTACTACTCTTGAGTCAGGGATATGGCATATATAACTACTGTATTAAGGAAGAGGGGGAAGGGAAAGGAAAGGAGATGAAAGGAAAGGAAAAAGAAACATGGAAGGAAAAAATTGATCCAACCAAAAGCTCTCAATAACAGTCATGAAAGGTTGTCTGTGCATTGCAATGAACATTCACCTTATGGTTAATGGTGGTTCCACTAATCTTCCCAAAGAGGAGATAGAGACAATGGATATAATTTCTAAATTGAAAGAGTATTTGCAATAACAGAGTTACTAAAATGATCACTGCCAAAATTACTGACATTTTTAAGTATATTAAAATTTACTTAGAATAATGTCAAGAATTGTATGCCAGTAGATGAATATTACATTATTTCTATATATATTAGCATTAAACTTAGTAAAAGTGCTTCTACCCATTGTGCATAGTCTGCAATGAAAGTATTGCACAAATAATATCACATGTATATGAAAATAAAATGGGAAAAAATAATGGAACTGATACAATTTAGAAGAAATATGGGGATATCATAATCCTGAAGAGACTATAGGCAAACTATGATAGTTTAAAAATTGGGATTAGAAAAAATATGATAGATGCCTGTGCTTTCTTTTAAGAATAGGAATTTCTAAACAGTAAAATTACTTGGTTGCTATACAGAAAAAAATCTCTAAGGACATAGGTAGCTCTTTGCTGACATCATATTCATCATCCTTGTAAGAATTATCCTATAGTATATTTGACAGTTTTATAAATTGAAATAAAGAACAAAACTCTGATGGACTCTGTACTTCATGTTTAGGAAACTCTAAGGCTGAAGACTGTTCCTTGACTAAGGTTATAAAGCTTGGAGCAGAAGAGCAGAAAAATGCAAGTCAGTCATTTATAGCACTTGATATTTCTGTTTCCCTGAAACAACAACTTCTTGTTTTTATTTTTTATTACAGAAATTTTTTTTGTAAGTATTTCCCCCCCTCCACACCCTCAATGTCCATTCCCTAATTCTTCAACAACTTAAATTTCATTAAAAAAAAATTGTTTTCTCTCCTCCTAGGTAAGAGAAGATGAACAGATGAAGTTACAATCATTATGCTTCTTAATATGATGCCTTATAAACATTTTTGTAAGTACTCTAATTAAGAAAAGCTATTATCAGCAACTGGGAGTATTTCTCAAAATCAACTGTGACTGACAGCTAATGAGTTTATTGCCCCCTTTCTCCCAGCCTCCAGACAAGTTCTTTCCATATATTTCTAGGTGCTTGGTTGAGAAAGTGGCCCTATAGTGTGTATAGTTCACTTCTTGTATCCCCAGTTGATTTCTAAGATTCTTTTATTGCCATACTCATTTTGACTCATTTCTCTATTTTGAATCACATTTCTTATAAAGGGTATTATAGGTAATTTTTGGCATATGCACACTAGGATAAGTCAGCATATATCTAATATTTCTCTGTTGCCTGTATCCTGAAAACATCCTATACTATCTCACCAAAGGAATTTTGGATAACAAGTTTGAACAAGTTTTACTGAACTTCTGAGTCTAGCAGTTAACCCCTACCCCTAATGTGGGTGCCTGGGGTATTTTCCATGCTTACCTTGGAAATAGACTCCTCTGTTGGTTTATTTATTACCAAGAGTCATTGAGCTCTTTTGCCTTGGAATTTGGTTGTAATGTACCTTTTGTGTACTGAATTGTGTCCCTTCCACATTCATATATTGAAGTCCTAACTGCTGATGTGACAGCATTTGGAGATGGGGCCTTTCGGAGGTAACTAGGTTTAGTGAAAGTCATGAAGGTGGGGCTTTCATGATGGAATTAGTGCTCAAAGAAGGAAAGACATCCAAACGTTTGCTTCCTCTCTCTGCCATGTTGAGTACCCACCCATAAGGTGGCCCCATAAGCCAGGAACAGAGTCCTTACCAGGCACCTAAATCAACCAGCACCTTGACCTTGGACTTCCAGCCTCCAGAACTGTAAGAAATATTTTTGTTGCTTATAGGGCACCTTCCATTTTCTTTCTCACCTGGATTGTAAGGAATCGATCAAGGCAAAATTTATTTCCTGCCCTTTTATACATTTGTCAGGTCTCCTAAACTCAAGGTGCTTTTTCCCTTTTAAACAGTGAAAAAGTTATGCCTTTTCCTGTAATTTGATGCTAAGGTCTTTCCCTGTGTTAATATTTCTTGTGCAAGTGGATCTGCAAATAGGGTGTTCCTGGAGCACTGTGTATATACATGTGTGTGTGTACGTGTGTGTGAATGATACAAATATTTCTTTAATGACTAGGATGTTGAAAGCATTTACTCCTCATTTTTTTAATCTTTACAGAAGATTTTTACCAAGTATAACTGCTGACCATTGAATAGTCAATAAGGTTAACCTATATATCTAGCAGACTGAGCTAAATTGAAAATCACCAAGAAATGTTTTTAGAAAGCTGGAATTAGTCAGACTGAAACAGAAGGGAGGTAGGCACTGCCTTGTTAATGACTTGCCTGAATAAAGTGGGTCTTTATATGTAGACTTTTAAATATATAATAATAAGAGGTATGAGTTTTGGAGTAAGACACCTGGATTTGATACACAACCCTCCTGCCCCAGATATAGGGCATTGGACAGCCTCCTGAAGCCATAGTTTCCTCATTTTTACAATGGCATTAAAATAGTATTTACCTCATGGAGTTCTTGTGAAGATCTCTGGATATTTTAGAGTCAGGCAGCAAGGAGCCTTCAATAACTCTTCACATTATTATTTTGTAGTTGTTTCAATGAGATAAACATTTATAGGATTAGAGTTCTTGTAAATAGCCAATGCTGCTTCAAATTTCCATTTGAGTTAATTTGCCTAAGGAGCTACCCCAAATACAATATGTAGTCCCTTTGCAGATATGATTCTTGTTTCTTGATAGTTCTCATTAAGTGTTTGGATTTTAAAAATCCATATTTTGTAAGCCCCATGTGGTGAAGAGTTTGGTTATTCACATTCTGAGCTTGGTGTTTGCTAATATTCTCTATAAAGCTTTAGCTGAACATTCTTTATTTTCTGGGAGCAGATTTATTAGGGCAATGAAGAGCATATATTGATGCTTGGTAGCATGAATATCTCTTTATTGGAATAATTACAAGAGAGTTAGGAATTGGGAATATTGATTGCATTTATTTAGTCTTTTGATATGGACAAAAATATTAAAAGCCATCAAACACTAGCATTGCCCTTTGACAGCATCATTTAATTCTAGCTACGGGGAAAATTGTGACATAAACAAAAGCAACACGACTCATCTATCGTAATTAGGG